AGGCACCTTACCCACTGAGCCTCTCAGTGGCCCTACATTCCCTCTTCTTAATGCTGCCCAAATTGCTTTCCTTCCACTCTGGTCTCAGGCAGAGATCAACCAGCCTCCTTCCTCCTTCCAGAACATTTTCTCCCTCAGATGACCTCAGTAGCTCCCCGTTCAGTCCAAATTACTCAGACTGTCACCAAATCGCCACTAGACTTGGTTTTGTGTTCCCCTCGTGCTCATGAGTATTCATGGGAGTCCGAGTAGGCCTCCCACTCCTCTCCCCCACCCTTGCTCCAGCTGTTTCTGATGCTCGTATTCTTTCCCCAGATCTTCCACCCCACAATCTGCACTCCGTCCAGACTCTGGGGCTCAATTCAAGTGCTACCCTGGTAGGACCCTCTTGGGGATTCTCAGAGCCCTAATGCCTGCTGGGTGTTCCTGCACCAATACCCACAGTTTTCCCCAGTGATTCTTTTTTAGTTATTTATTTAATTTATATTTCTCTCCCCTCCCTCCCTCCCTCCCTCCCTCCCTCCCTCCCTCCCTCCCTCCCTCCCTCCCTCCCTCCCTCCCTCCCTCCCTCCCTCCCTCTCTCTCTCTCTCTCTCTCTCTCTCTCTCTCTCTCTCTCTCTCTCTCTCTCTCTCGTGTGCACCCCCCCTCTCCCTCTCGTGTGTGCGCGTGCCTGTGCAGGTACCCAAGAAGGCCAGCAGAGGGTGTCGAATTCCCTGGAGCTAAAGTTATGGGTAGTTGTAAGCTGCCAGATGTGGAAGCTAGGGAGTGAACTTGGGTCCTCTGCAATGGTAGCAAGCACTCTTAGTTCTTGAACCATCTCTCCAGTCCTTCTTGGTGATTCCCCCTGGAAATTCACACTGGGGCTGCCTGGTGAGGAAGTGGGAAGTAGACTCTTTTAGCAATCTTAACAACACCCACCTCCCAAACGCTCAACCCCTGCCACACTTGTGGGTCCCTTGCTTCAGGTTGAGATGACATTCCTGCCCCAGGGATGGAGCAAGCAACTTTCACTTTAGCCCATTTGTGATTCCCTTCATGGATCTAAGGGATGGGCCAATCAGAACCAAAGACCCCCCAAGGGGGGGAGCGGGAGGAGAGGGGCTTGGTTGGGATTATTAGGACCAAAGTACCCTCTGCCCCTTGGACTTTGAATATGAGGTCTTTTGGCTTTCTTGTTCCCCTGTACCAAAGGAAGGGGAACAGGAGGCAGAGATGGAGGAGCCGGGTCCTGGGGAGGTCCTATCCCGGCCTTTTCGTTTCTGATGACAGACAGTAAATTGTCTCATTGAGTTGGTTGGGCTTGCTTCCTGTTGCAACACAAAGACTCCTGGCGGTTGTGTCCAGGGTTGGAGAGAGGAAAGCTCATTAAGGCTGGCTTCTGGGCGCTGCCTGGGGACCCCAAGAGGTCATGGTATGGCCCCCTGCTCCAGCACTGATGAATGGCAACTGAGTTGCCCTGTGCCCCTGGCCTGCACATCCTGCTTACAGTGCTGGCATCCAAGGACTGGGGGAGTAGAATGAGAACCATCTGGACTGCTGGTGGAAGCCTTGGCCCTGGGGCAGGGCTAGGGCTCTGGAAGTGGACACTGAGCCCAGGCCAAGGGTTTATGAGGTGGAACTTCAGGCTCCTGGATGACTCTGTGGGACCCTTATATTCTGAGTCACTAGGCTATGGAGTAAAAAGGGCATGCCCAGATATTTTTCTTTTACTCCTGAGGGAGTAATCCCAATTTGGGGAGCAGACCCAAACTCACCTCTCCATGAGCCCTTTGGGAATGTTGCTGGAAACAGTTGAACCACTGAAGAGGGAGTGGTGGGTGGGCAGGGATTTCTGGGAAGGAGCACCCCCCAGGTCTGGGAAATGCCCAGATGTGGTCTGAAGGGGGCACCATGGAGTATCCTGGGAGGAATGAGGGATGAGAACTAGAATGTTCCAGTGTGTTCTGTGATGGCACTTTTGGGAAATGTCCCTAGCTTCATCTCCTAGATGACTGTAGGCCTGGAAGAGGTCAATGCTTAGGAGGAGCATGATGGGAATTGGGGATTACTTCCTGGGCCTGGGAGTTCTCTCCCTGCACCTGGATCTGATGATAAGGGCCTGAGTTGGGGTAGTATACAGGAGCACTCCAGGGCATATGCTGGGAATGCCGGCTCACTTTGGAAGAGCTGGGCTAAGAGCTGGGTCCTAGGCACAGACCAGGCATGATTGCAGAGGGGTGTCTGGTATGGCTGGGAAGGGTCAGAGGGAGGACAAGAAGGCTGAAGCAGGGAACCAAAAGGGACAGGAGGTCAAAGAAAGAGTCCTCCTTGCCTCTGCTCTTTGGTCGTCCGAGGCCCAGGGGCCCAGCCTTCTGCCCACCAGCTGCCACAAGCTGAAGTGGGTCTGCTTTACATTATCAGAGGAGCTGCTGCTTCCAGCCATATGGTCAGCAGACCCTGAGCCGCCGGAGCAACAAGGAAAATGTCTTTTGCTGACCTGAGCTCTAGTCCAGCCCCTTCTTCCCCTGGAGCTCTAGCACAGGTCCAGGATCCCCCATGGTTCTCTCTGTTGGATACAGAGTCTTGTCTCTCTTTGCCCATTGGCTGACAGCGGGCGGGAGGCATGAGGGGGAGGGGTGAGAACTAATGATGTAGATAGGCTTGGGTCTCAGTTTAGAGGAGGGATGGATGCCTTGGGAGTGTCAGGAGGCATGTCAGAAGTGAAGACTACAGGCTAGGGCACTGAAGACAGAGGTTAAGAGGTTTCCGTTTGTACTCTGAAACTCATGAGGACTTGGAATGAGTCCCCCACTCTGGAGGTTCAGATCCCCACAGTTGAGCCCTGTGCTGCAGTGGCCCCGTGCAGTCGCCACCAGCATCTGTGATGGTTACATTTTCCATGTGGTTGATCTAAAGTTAGATGTGAAGAAAGAATTAAAGACGCGTAGGAGCTGGGTGTGGTGGCACACACCTTTGATCCCAGCACTTGAGAGGCAGAGTCAGGAAGATCTGCTAGCCTGGTCTAAACAAGTTCCAGGACAACCAGGATTGCATAGAGGTGGTGGCACACGCCTTTAATCCCATCACTTGGGAGGCAGAGGCAGGAAGATCTATAAGACCTAGTTCCAGAACAGGCTTTAAAACTATACAGAGAAACCCTGTCTCAAAAGAAAAAAAAAAAAGAAATACAACAACAGAAACAAAGTAGGATTGGGACAACTTAGTGGGTCAAAAAATATCTAGACGATTTCATTAACAATTTAAATATTAATCACATGTTGAAATAATAATAGATATCTATTAGGCTGGTCTATTGTTGGAGTTAGCTGTTTATTTTATTTGTGGAAGGTGTCCACTAAAAAGCTTACAAGTCCACATGTGTCACTTGTGTTCTGTGGGTGTTGGGTGAGGTGAACTCATCGATTTCTCAGTGTAGTTGAAATGTATGTCGGCTCTGTACCGGGCAGGCACTAAGCATGAGACGGTGAGCGAGACCAGAGCCTGTCTCTGGTTTCCTCGGATTTGTGGTAATCGAATAATCACTCAGACAGGTGCCTAATTACAAAGAAGTCTTAAGCAGTAAAGAAGAGGAGGGACCGTGGGGTTTTCTGAAGCTGGAACCAAGAAACTTGATTTGGAGCTGGGTGTGGTGACACACTCCTGTAATCCCAGGCTTGGGGTGTGGAGGCAGGAGGACCAGGAGTTGAAGGCTAGTCTTGGTTATATATGGAGGTTCAGACCAGTTTGGGTTATAGTAAATCCTGTCAGAACCAAAACAGATTAAGCAAACAAATACACACACACACACGAGAGAGAGACAGACAGACAGACAGACAGACAGACAGACAGAGACAGACAGACAGAGAGACAGAGAGACAGAGAGAGGCAGTGACAGAGACAGAGACAAAGAGATGAGAAACTAATTTGGACTCGGGGAACCAGTCGTCTTTCCCTAAAGATTCTATGGGCTGAGGTAACTTGGTAAAGAATATTCTAGATAGGACAGCACACACAGAGGCCCTGTGGCTAAAGGAAATTATAAAGTTTTCAGAATTCTGAAGTTGTTTAGGAGGGACACAGAGAGTAAGGTCAACTGCTGGATCAAAGTAGTGAGTCTGGCAGGTTTGGGGGAGATGCTCACACAGCCCCACAGGACCCCTGTGCTCACACAGCCCCACACTGCTCACACAGCCCCACACTGCTCACACAGCCCCACAGGACCCCAGGGCTCACACAGCCCCACACTGCTCACACAGCCCCAAGGACCCCAGTGCTCACACAGCCCCACAGGACCCCTGTGCTCACACAGCCCCACACTGCTCACACAGCCCCACACTGCTCACACAGCCCCACAGGACCCCAGGGCTCACACAGCCCCATACTGCTCACACAGCCTCACAGGACCCCAGGGCTCACACAGCCCCACACTGCTCACACAGCCCCACAGGACCCCAGTGCTCACACAGCCCCACAGGACCCCAGTGCTCACACAGCCCCACAGGACCCCAGTGCTCACACAGCCCCACAGGACCCCAGTGCTCACGCAGCCCCACAGGACCCCAGTGCTCACACAGCCCCACAGGACCCCAGTGCTCACACAGCCCCATAGGACCCCAGTGCTCACGCAGCCCCACAGGACCCCAGGGCTCACACAGCCCCATAGGATTCCAGGGCTCACACAGCCCCAAGGACCCCAGTGCTCACACAGCCCCACAGGACCCCGGGGCTCACACAGCCCCACAGGACCCCGGGGCTCACACAGCCCCACAGGACCCCAGTAAACATGTAGAGCTTTAACTCTTGAGGTGGAGACAGGAGGGATGGAGAGGGCAGAGGTTACACCAAGCCTTTTGCTCCAGTGTTGGGACGGGATGGAGAGGGTTTGAAATCCTCCACAGCTTCCAGAGTTCTAAGAATATAGTCCAGACCCCTTCAACAGACTCCACAGGAGCCCTGGCCCCTGTCTGGCCCTCCCTCCCCTCCTCACTTTCCTCCCTTCCTCTTCTGGGCTCCAGGCACCAGTGTTTCTCCAGGCTGGACTATGTTCTCTCTCCTCCCAGGCCTGCTACCTCATATATGCCTAAGGGCCAGCTTCCATGTCCCTTCCCTGACCTCCCCGGGGCTGGCTGGACAAGGCTGCCACTTACACTTTCTGTGCCAGCCAGGGCTGGCTGCTGCAGCTCTCTGAAGAAAGCAGTCACTGAGGAGGGGCTTATGTCCCTCCTTATTCCCACAAGACAGAAACTGGATGTTCCACCAGAGACACCTTTAGGGTGAAGACAGTTTTTCTTTTATCATAATGGAGAATCCCTTAAGGGAGCAGATATGTTTCTCTCATCATAGGAATCCATCCCTACTGTGGGTAGGTGGCCCATAGTAGGGAGATGGGAGCCCCCAGCCTGAGCCCTTCTCCATCAGACAGGGACTGTCTCCCCCACTACTCCGAGGCCTTGCTAGTGCCTCTGTGTCTCTCGTCTCCACCGCCATGTCACCCTCCTTGTCCATCCCGTCGGTGGGTGTGAGAGACTAAGACTCTCCTGTCTGATGTTTGACTCTTGGCTGGGCCCTGCTGGCCCTGCTCCCTGGGCCTGCAAATCTGGAAGGCGTGCTTGTTGTTCTTCCTAGAAGAGCGAATCCTCTCCTGCCTTCCAGGGTGACCACAAGCCACTCCTACTAGAGTCCCTGGATGATGGACGAGCACGGGATGGGCAGTTCTGACTACCCGCCTCACCAGCCTTACAGCCTAGAGTCAGAAGTCTTAGGGGCTCCCAGGCCAGGTAGGCATGAGCTCTGGTTAGGCTCTGTCCCCAGTGTCTCCAGGGAGGGGCTGGCCTGACTCCTGGCCAGGCCAACCAGCCTCCTGCTGAGCCATCTGGACAGAGGTTCTGTGTAATCTTGTGTATGAGTATGCTTGCGTGTCTTACAGGCCATGTGGGTGGCTGGGAGCTGTGGGGTCATGACCTGGCCCTCCTAGCAAGCCTCTGGCTCCCCTGTGGTCAGTTTCACTTCTGACATCTGGTCAAGTTCACAGCTGGCCAGCTTCCTGCATGGCGGGTGGTTTTTTTACTTCCCTTCTCTGAGATCTGGGAGCAAAGGGGCCCTGCTCTTTTCCCCCACCCACTTCATAACTGAGCATACGAAGTTGCTGGATTCTTGTCAAAACTTACAGAAAAGTGGGCAACATTGAAATTATAAGGACTGGGAGTCTGGGGGCAGGGGTGGATGACTCTGATCTACACATTCAATCCCAACTAACAAAACATGGGTGTTTCCAGAAAATCTCTTGGCACCATTTTTCTTTCTTATTGGTTTTTTTCTATTTAATGTCCATCACTTATGTTTTATGAGTAGGTTTTTACACAGGATGCAAGGGGAAGGTGACAGGGAGCATGGAGGGGTCTGGAACTGGAAGCCACCAGCGGGAGGGTCAAAGGTTCCATTATGACCCAAAGTAAGACTGGAGAGACCCCAGAACCAAACACATGCTAGACTGCACTTGCAGCTCCCCACTGCCCCCCAACTTATGGGGAGGAAAATAAATACACAAAGAACGTCCCACTCCCCAGTGCCTGGGGCAGGCCAGCAGGTGGAGTCCCTCTGCTCATTACAGATTGAGGTCCATACAAATGCCACCTGTGTACAATGCTCCTCGTTTCTTTTCAGGGTTTGGGGGACCCTGGCCACCCAGGGGTGGTGTTCAGTCTGTGAATACCCTTCCTGGGGCTCCTTCATGCTAAATAGAGGGGGAGCCCACTCATTCCAACAGCAAGCAAAACAGAGCAGGCCAGGAAGGGGGTGAAAATGTCACCGAAACCTCAAGTCCCTTCCTGGTGGTGCTCAGGAAATCAGTCCTTTGCAAAGGCCTTGAAACTTGGGAGAAATCTGCCACAGGCCAGGTGCCAGCATCTGGTTTTGTTTGTTTGTTTGTTTTTGTTTTTTCTTGCTGTGCATTCCCACAAGCCTGTTTTTTTTCACTGTAACCTTCTGGGTGCAGCCAAACCCAGGCTTCGAGAAGCAGAGGAGTGAGCGCATTCCTCCACGCACAGGCCCTTGGAAGACAGACTTGCCAGATCAGACACAGCAGTCCTTGGCCTGCCAAACTCAGGGGCGAGGAAGACAGCCCCCACAAAGCCCAGGTCCCTCCGGTGATTTTCTGGCAGTGACCCCCAGCAGGATCTAGTCTCAGCCCAAAAATAGCCATGGAAAAAGCAAGAAATCTTTGTGTGTGTGTGTGTGTGTGTGTGTGTGTGTGTGTGTGTGTGTGTGTGTGTTGCTGTTGTTGGGATTGTGGGGTGGCAGTACTTGGTCCCTGACCCCTAGGACTGATTCTAGGGGCCACCGTTGGCTCCAGGCCTATGCCAAGAATGAGGATATTAACAGATTCACCACTCTGCAAATGCCACGTTTGGAACCCTGACAGAGACAGAGGAAGGCAACACCCTGCTCCCCAAACCCCTAGTCTGACTCCATCAGTATTGGCCAATGGACCAGGTCTTGGACAAACAGTTTGTCTGCAGAAGGGTTGGGTAGGGGCCTGGAAGTTGCAGAGGGTGGGGCAGACTTGGCTTCCAGACATGTCCCTGAAAGTTACACCATCCCTGCCATCAAGCACACCTGATGTCCTCACTCAGAGAGGAGGATGTCAGCCTACATTCGACCTCTCTGTTGCTGGGTGGCCTGGGCCAGTCCCTGCCTCTCTGTCCTGTGTGTAAGAGGGGAGTGTGGCCTGGCTTTCCAACCTGCTTTCAGCTCAGATGCGCCTGTAATCCTCTTCATCTTTGGCCAGAGTGGAGGAGGGGCTGGGGAAGGTCTATCCTACCACCATGCTCCCTGTTCTCCAGTTCACAGTGTGGAGTCCATGGCTTCTTCAGTGCTGCCTGAGTCCCCGGGGTGCCCCTGTCACCATCTCTGGTGTCAAACCCCCAGATCTGGCACAGCTAAGGTGTAGGGGAGGGTGGAAAGGCCTGAGGTGGTAATGGGGCAGGACAGGCTTGGGGTGGTCCTGTCTCACTGAAGAGAAAGTGGGATCAGAAGCAAGGGCTCCCTCAGGGACAGCCACAGGGCTAAGGTTTGGGGAGCAGGGCCTTGGAGCTTGGCTCTGACTGTTGGGCCACCCCGGGGGAGGGGGGCATCTCTGTGGGGGCTGGCTAGAGCATCAGTTGTCAGAATATGGGGCAGGACAGGGGCTTCTGGTCTGAGCTCACACTGGGGACGTGGCAGTGGACTCGCTGCACAGGCTCTCCACAATGTCGGCTCTCTGGATGCGGCGCAGGGCGGCTAAAAGGGCATCGAACGTTGCGCTGTCCTGGGCACCCCAGCTGGCCATCAGGGCTCCAACTGGGCAGGTCTCGTGAGTGAAGGAGTCTATATGCTCAGGCTGGTAGCCCAGCTCGCCTGCCAGATGTCGCCAGGTGTCCCCTGCAGAACCTTTGAGCAGCTTCTCAACCTCCTCGCGCTTGGTCAGGGGCAGGCTACTGTAGAGGCCGCCGTCACCCTTGAGGGCTACAGAGGACAAGAGCAATCAGTCCCTAACCCTGGACCTCTTTCCTCCAGTGCACTAGGGGCCAAGGCACACTCCTCCAAGTCTAGAGTTCGAGGCAGAGGAGTAGCCAAGATGAGGTCCTAAATAGGGCCTGGGAGGGAGGGACCTGAGCCTTGCTGACTCACTGTCTCTTATTCAAGCTCAGCTCAGACATCATCTTTTCCTCTAGCGTCCCCTCCCCCTCAGCAATCATGGAGGCAGAGGAGGGGACAGGGCTCTTGAGCTCCTGACAACTGCAGCAAGTGTCCTAGAGCCTGGCTATGGGCTGCTAATTAGGGTACACACTTAACCACTTGTTTCCTAGAAGTTCAGCCAGGAGGCTAATTGCAGCTACTTTGGGCAGTAATTAACCCCCAGGGGGGACAATTAGCCTGATGAGTCTGGATGCTCCAACTTGTAAAAGCCTCCATTTCCCCAAGTCATCCTCGGGGAAAACATTCCCCTCCCCACATCTCCCATCCCACCCGACCTCCCCTACCCTGCTAGCCCCTTCAGTAGTCTAATCTCGGCTAACAGCCCCATCTTTTGCCTTCCCACTCACCCTGGCCTGAGGCAGTCTGTGTATGGGTCTGCTGGTCGTGCAGGCTCTGGCTATCCACAGAGATGCCACTGTCACTGTGGAGTTTTTCTCCCTCGGGTGGGGGTGTCTGGTTCACTGGTCGACTGTTGGCTCCCTGTTTGTTTTGCTTACAGCTGTTCCACCTGGAACCCAGGTATAGGACCGGTCTTAGCACGAGGGCTTGTATCAGCCAGTGTAGCCTACATAGTTGTGTCCATGGTCCAGGTCAGGGCCATGGCAGGTGCCCTCCAAAGTGTCTGAGGAACTTATTTCTTTATATCAGTGGTTCTCAACCTCCCTAAGGCTGTGGCCCTTTAATACAGTTCCTCATGTAGTGGTGACCCCCAACCATAACATTATTTTAATTCAGTTCCTCATGTAGTGGTGACCCCAACCATAAAATTATTTTGTTTGCTACTTCATTACTGTGATTTTGCAGTTATGAATCATAATGGTAAATTTCTGTTATGCAGATGGTCTTAGATAACTGCTATGAAAGGGTCAGTCAGCCCTAATGGGTCAACACCCAGAGATTGAGAACCACTGCTTTACATACAGAAGACTGAGAGGAGATAACACCCAGAGGTTGAGAACCACTGCTTTACATACAGAAGACTGAGAGGAGATAAGGTGCTCATTTTACACATAGACACACAGGCACACACACACACACACACACACAGACACATACACACACATACAGACACACATACACACTGAGACACACACAGACACACACACAGACACATACACACACACATACACACACAGACATAGACACATATACACACAGACACATACAGACATGCAGACATATACACACACACATGCTCTATAGGGGTGGAAGAATTTGGTAGCATTCAGTAAATGTTAACAGAACAAACAATACATAAATAAATGACTTCCTAGAAATTCCACTTTTCCCAATCGACTCTTCTAAAGTAATCCCATATGTGAGCAGCGATCACACACACACACACACACACACACACACAGACACACACACACACACACAGACAGATTTCCTTGGAAATTATATGCAATAACAACAAAATTGAAAATAAACCAAATGTCCATCAAGAGAGGACTGGCTAACTGCACTACGGTCCAGGCACGTTGTTGAAGGAGAGGCTGTAAATGATCAGATAGTCTGTGCTCTGAGGAAAAGTCTCCTGAGCGGGATTAAGAGGGGAAAGTGCATCGCAGGAGGTGTGTGGTGTGTTCCCTCTGAGTCATTAGAAAAGGTCTCCATGTCTACATATAATTATAAAAAATCCACATGTGAGTGTTTATATAAAAAAGTACACTATAAACAGCTGGGAAGGTGTTATCCCAAGAAATTCCCCACAAGATGGGTAGGATTTGAGGAGATAAAACAAGGTTTTTGCTTCTTGCTTTAGAAGATATTGGTGTTGGTACTGGGGCTATTGCTCAGTGGCAGTAAGCTTGCTTCACATGCTCAAAGATCTGGGTCCCATCCCCCGCACCACAAAACAAATTTGGTCTTGTTTGCATTTGCTTTTTAAAAAGCATGTGTTACTTTGATGATTTAAAAGCAAAATACAAAAAAAGAATGGGACAAGCATTTAAAGTTGAAAATGCCTTCCGGGAGTTTTTCTATGTCTTTAATTCCTTGATGTGGGTATCACAGGAGCCCAAGGGTGATGTGGGAGTTTGAAGGTGACGTGAAAGCAAGACTGACTTGGGAAGGAAGAGACACATGTATACCCAGGAAGCAGGGGTGAGTGGCTGGCGCTGGGGGTGAGGATGCAAGGAGCTAGAGAGGCTCAGGAGTTAAGGAACCGAGGAGCCGCCTGGGGGTGGGGAGGGACTGGAGCCAGGACAGGAAAGGGAGCCCTCTTCTGTCACTGCCTGCAACCTGCCACACCCAAGAGTCAGGCATGAGATAGTGAGTGACGGTGTGTTTAGGGTTGAATTAAACGAGTATGTGTGTTTTCAGGGCAAGGTGGGAGGAAATGTCTCCCCCATCCTCACCGTGTCCCCTCTTACCTCTTGAAAGCAATATAGGCCACAAGGCCCACAACCACAGCGGCCAAGATGGAGCAGTAGACAGGAATGAGGTTGTCGGTGGTGCCTCGGGTCACTACAGGTTGGGAGCTGCCCATCACAGTGGTCACCGTATCTGCCACTGTGCTGGCTATGAGGTCCTGATCCGGAGGTGCCTCGGGCTCCTGGGTGCTGGGGGCCGTGCTGTCAGAGCCCTCTGGGGGTGTAGACCTTGTGATCCATCGGCCAGGGATCTCTGGGGAACAGGACCACGGGAGTTAGGACCTATCCAGGCCTTCCCCTTAGCTCTGACACTCCAGTGGTTCATCCTGAGCCTCCAACCTCTGGTTCCAGGCACACAGGATTGGGAGCTGGGACTGCACACAAGTCAGGTTAGTGGAGGAGAGCGAGGGCTGCATGACAGGAAACTTAAGTCAGTATGGAACCTTGATTTCCCCATCCAGAGAATGGGCTCTCTGAAAAGAAAAAAAAATGGTCTCCAAGCAACTTTTTTTGGCTTAGGCTGTGAAATTAGAATTCTAGTCTCTGCCCAGCGGGCAGGCATGGGGCAAACACACCAAGATGCCTCAAGCTGGAGCAATGCCTCGATTGCTTGGAGGGCTGTAATTTCTCTGGCCTGGTGACCTCTGGAAGGATGGCGCTTGGGTACCTGATCAGAGACGCTGCCCTCTTCCCTGTCTCAGATGCTCCAGCCTCTAGGCTGGCACTAGAGGTGGAGAATCTAACTGGCTTGCTTCATCCCAGCCAGTCCCTGTACAGCCAACACGTTTTTGTTGTTGTTGATCCCCAAACAGTCTGGCCCTGGCACCTAGAGAAGACTGGGGCAGACAGCTGGCACCCTTGTTGGCAGGAAGCCAACGGCTGGTGGAGGGAGGAGCTATGAGGTAGGCACTGCCTACTGCCTCAGAAGGAGCAATTCTGTGCTTGGCCACCCATCTAGGCCTGCTCATGCCATTTGGGCATCGCCAGCCTTCCTGGCAGAGGCTCCAGACCCTCCTGGCACTAGTGGGTGGGATTTTCCATTCTGCCACCCAGCCAGAGGCAGTGCTAGTAGTTGTGGGCTCTGGATGATGGCCTGGGGGATACTTGTCTGGGCAGAGCAGCCCGTCCCATCCATTCTCACTTCCTACACTTGGGGCAGGGAGGAAAAGCAGACAGGGCATGCTAGTGGGGTCAAGGCGAGGACACCTTGCTACCCAGCTCTGGCCTGCCCAGACTACACTGTGCCCACCCAAGCTGGAGTTGAAGCTGCCCACTGGGTCTCTGGGCCTCCCCAGCTCAAGACAGATGCTTCAAAGGCCCCACTTTCAGCACCTTCTGAGTGGTGAGGCCCCCAGATGTGAGTCTGGAATCCATCTGGCTGGCAGTAGGGAGAAGGTTGCCATCTGCTGCCCAGTCCCACCCTTCCCCCATCCCAGGACTGGCCAGGGCTGGCAGGAGAGGACCGGAAAGTGGAAGAGACAGTCCTGTCTGAGTGTTGGGCCCTAGAGGGCCTTCTTGTGATTTGCTAGGGTGACAGGGCAGGTGGAGGGTACAGCCTGAGCCCCAAGACTGCAGATATGACTCAGTTCAGATTGACAGCCCCTACCCTGAGGCTCATGTGGGCGGGTGAGGGGTATAGAAACGAAGGGGCCTCAGGGAAGGACTGAAAGCAGTGTCAAGTGTCCAGGACACCTTCCCTCACTCCCTCCAGCCTCTTGATGGGGGTGGAGACGAGATCCAGATGTGGCCCTGTCCCCTAGCATTCCAACTCGCTAAGCCCTTGGCAGGTCCTGACAGCCATTTCCGGAATGGGAGCCATCAGGAGGAAGAGGGAGCAGGTGACCCCTCCTAAACTTCAATGTGGTAAGGGGGCCGGGCGTCTGCCCCAAGGCTGGGTGAGTCACCGTGTTGACACCTGAAATGTATATGCAGGAAAGCATGCTACATTGGACAAAAGTGGGCTGCCAACCCAAGAATCAAATTCCATTTCCTGAAAGGGATGCTTGGCCTCAGGGCTAACATTTAACCCTTCAGAGGCTGGAGCAGAAAGAAGAATAATACAGAGATAAAAGTTCCTGCTGCCAAGATGGCTGGGTAAGTAGGGTGGCGTCTGGGAGGAAATAATTCCCTAAGCAGTGGGCCTGCTCCTTTTCCATCCAGGCCCCCCTTTCTCTAATCACACCCCACCTGTACCCCACTGGCTGATTCAGACCTGCTTACAACTGTGTCGCCCACCGCCTGCTGCCCGGCTGCTGAAGCGCTCTCTCTCTCTCTCTCTCTCTCTCTCTCTCTCTCTCTCTCTCTCTCTCTCTCTCTCTCTCTCTCTCTCTCTCTCTCTCTCTCTCCTGGCTCAGCCTAGCTTCTGGGCCCATGGGAATCTCCACCAGAGCCACCCAGGGCCTATGCCCATCCCTCTGCCTATTCAGTAAAGAACATTGCAAACATATTTAGGGCCTCAGTGAGGGTTACCAGCCTTCTCCCCTCTGCTGCTTGAGCAAGCTTAATTAAGTCTAGGTATGGGGGGGCAGCCAGGTTGTCAGGAGGCCCTCCATGCCCCCCAGGACAGGGGACCTGTATCTTCTACTTAATTAGAGGTTGATGGAAGGCAGGAACTGGGCGGCCTCCATCATAGTCAGCAATCTCCAAAGCTAGGGCTGTCTTCTCCCTTCAGGAACTAGGGCCTGGCTTGGGGCGCTCCCCTCACTGGACCAGTGCCAAGGGCCATCCCTCTCCAGGAAAACTAGGGGCTCCCTGAAGATGGCACACTTGCCTGCTCGGTAACAGCACAACCTGAGGTTAGAGTTCAAAGAAAGCCAGGTCTGTGGGCATGGCCACTGACGGATGAACAGAACGGAAAAGCACCACCCACTTGTCTCCAGTCCTCTCTGAGATGAACACTACCAACCAGTGACCATGGTGGCTGTGCCCTGGCTCCCAGGTTCCTCCTCCTCTCCCGAGATCCCCATATCTCTTTCAGGTGAGCTATGAGGATAAGGCAGGCCAACCCAGCTCCTACAGCCCCAGCGGACAGGAGCCCTTCAAGCATACCCCTCCACCTCATCCTACCTCTCCCCCAGCCCATGTTTACTACTCCTCTTCAGTTCCACAGAACTGCTTCTGTCATGGCCGTTTACAGCAGCCAAATCCATGTCATTAACCTGCCACAATGCTTCTGCCTCATCCCCAGATACCATGGGAGGAATGTACCATCTACTCCAACAACCCTATGGCCATCAAAACCAGGTCCAGAGCCAAGAGTAACCTTCCCGATGGCACTCGGAGATGATTTGATGTGGGGTTGCTGCAGCCGTCATCGCCACCGGCATCTGGCCTCATGGCTGAAGGGCCCTCGCCCCTGTAGGTCCCCAGCCCCACTCCAGTTCAGTAAACCTGCCTCAGGCCGGAAGGAGACCTGCTTCAGACTCTAGCATCTACAGCTTCTCCCAGCTGCCGTTAGTGCCCATATAATCTCTGGAGGGAGTTAGGAAGACTTCTTCAGAGAGCAGTAAGCTGGACTTTCCCAGTGTCAGTTCAAAGAAGGAATTAGTGAAAAGGGCTTTGCGGTGAGGTCGAATGTGGAATCACCATCTCTGTGCTTTTATCAAGAGTTTCCTAAGACTGAAAGAGGAGGGTGCTTGCCCGGTGAAGGCCCGCCGGGGACCTTACGAACCCTAGAGGGCGCCCTTCCTCACAAATGCAGCCCTGCGCCCCCACACCACCCTGCGTGGAATATGGCTCACCCTCGCACTCGGCGTCGGCCCAGGGCGTGCACTCCCGTAACTGGCGCTCAGTGTCCTCGCACACCGTGCAGGGCAGGCACGGATCCACATGGTTGGCTTCATCTGAGTATGTGCCCTCTGGGCACTCTTCACACACCGTGTTCTGTTTGTCCTGGCAGGAGAACACGAGTCCTGAGCCCACCTCGCACACGCTGCACGCCTCACAGCGGCCAGTCTCCTCGTCCTGGTAGTAACCATAGGCACATCGGCACACTGCATCATCTGCTTCCACACAGGGAGCCGACATGCTCTGCAGGCCCAGGCACTCGGTGCACGGCTTGCAGGGCTCAGTGGCGCTCACCACATCAGAGAATGTCACACCTGAGGACAAAGGCATAGACGGGGAGGCATCAGTCTCCGAACCCAGTCACTTGGAAGGTGTTTGGTAGGCTTGCGTACAGGGCTGGGGGTCCCTCCTTTCCCATCCCCAGCTAAAGCTATCACCCTGTCTCAGCTTCACTTTCTCATTGACCTCTGCTCCCTTTTCTGCAGTTCCTCACCCTCGGAAGGAGGCCAGGGTCCCCACTCTCCAGAAGAGTCGGGCCCTGAGGCCTCCTGAGGTCCTAGCTGTTCCGGTAGATTCCTTGGCAAACCTTAGGGAGTTCTCAGACCTGTACCTTAGTTCCCAGCGCAGCTGAACAATAGTGTGAGCATGTCTCCCATCCAGCCTCCCACGCAGCCCAGAGGGGAGCTGTGTACCTAAGAGCCTCTGTCTCCGTCCTTCTGGCCCTCTTGCCATGGGGTGGGATGGGTGGCAGGGTCAAAACTGGAGTGACAAGGGTTGACAGCAGAATTTCTGACCAATGGCATTTTGTCATACTGCCTACACCAGGACCAGTGCTCCAAGCAAGACAGTTCAGGTACAGCCAGAAAGATAGAAGCTAAGAAGCAAGGGGGACTTGCACATACAGTCCTCTGCCCTTTCAGCACAAAGGGGCAGTTTCCAAGCTCACTTTGGCCTCACTCTGAAGCAGGGGATGTGAACTCTGGAAACTGAGTAGGCTGTGTGTGTGTGTGTGTGTGTGTGTGTGTGTGTGTGTGTGTGTGTGTGTGTGTGTGGTCTTTGCCTCCTGAGAAGAGATCAGGGAAGGGGCAGAGCCAGCTCTCAGCACCTTCCATCCCAGGGAGAGATCTCTGTGCCGTCATGAGTACAGGAGGAGCTGTCTTTGCTCAGGGTGTTGAGGAAGCTGAGAACCAGGGAAGGAGGGCATGCTTGGGACCCGGAGGTGAAAGCAGAGAGTACGGGGTAGAGACCTGCAGGGGACCCCATGCTGACACCCTCTAAAGGCGCCGAGGGTCTCATCCTGGGACGTGTGGGTGCAGCGATGAGACAAACGATGATGAGACAAAGGAAGGAGGAAGGTGAACCGGGCAGAAGTGGAGAGAGCAAAGCAAAAGGGCAGGAGGTCTGGGCAGCACTTCCACTTGTAGTCAGCAGCTCCTACAGAGGCAGGGGCAGCTCCTACAGAGGCAGGGGCAGCTCCTACAGAGGCAGGGGCAGCTCCTACAGAGGCAGGGGCAGCTCCTACAGAGGCAGGGGCACCCTGTTTTCTTTTCCCAGGGATGAGGCAGATCTGCCTTCAAAACTCACTTCCGTAACTTATTATATCTGTGACTTAGCCTTCCTGAGCATTTTCCTCTCTCTGTAAAGTAGAAAAATAATAGCCAGGGATGGTGGTGCCCAGGAGGATCATGAATCCAAGACCAGTCTGCTCTACATGGTGCTTTTTGAGGCTAGCCTGGGCTACACAGTGAGAACCTGTCTCAAAACTAACTAACTAGTAAGTAATGTCCCCACCCCATGGGCTCTGGTAAAGAATAAGTGACCGGCCCCATGGATGAGCAGTAATAAGGACAGAGGTCTTTGGTGGCTGAGATACAGTCAGACAGCAGAAAGCACCTGTCTGGCAGGACATCTGATCTCTCCAAATGAGAGGGTGCTTATATAGGGGTGGGGACATTGAACGAAAAGAGCACGGTGGCTCCTGGGGAAAACACAGAAATTAGCTGGAAGACTCCTGGGAGTAGGTTTTGGATGGTGTGAAAACTATGACCTTTTTTGGCAGAGCATGAAAGCAGGGGCTTAATAGGCTTCCTAGTGGAAACGTTTTTTGAGGATGGAGGGAAAGTCCACTGGGGTCTCTAGCCCATAAAATAGGCTTGTAAAAGCAGCCTGTTAACACAGCTGGAGGGGAGTGTGGCAGGAGGAACCCAAGCGGGAAGGAAGAGGAAGGGAATGAGGCAGGGAGGCTGCTGCAGCCCCCTCTGAGCTGCCCTTGGTTCCTGTTGCCTTTCCTCTTCCCTGATTCCTGACCCGGCCCTCCCCTGAGCTCCCAAACCACCAGCTGCTAAAGAAGGATATGTAGGATGGAGATGGGAGTGGCCTAGGACATCTACATCCAGGCAATGATGTTAGCTCTGCCTTGGAATAGAGACTCTGTGAAGCCAAGGCAGGACAGGCACCACCTTCCAAGGAGGCAGAGCCTTCCCATCCAGCCCAGGTTGGGGACAGGGTTACAGGAGCCACAAGCACAGAAATAGAAACACATGTCTTTGGGAACACTAAGGAGTTGGGGTTGCACAGACTCCGGAGGGAGCATTCAGAGAGGTAAGACAGGTAGCCTGAGTCCCCAGCTCTGTGTTCTGTTACCAGCAGCCCTCCTAGTGGGGACCAAGTGCCAGGCAGATCCAGGATCCTACCAGCAGCAGACAGGGAAGCAGCTCTGCCTTGGGGCCCGAAGCAGCAGAGCAACGAGGTATCCAGCAGCAGAGACCATTACTCCTGGTCACACGGACACAGAACTCACAGAGGATGAGAACAAAGCTGCCACCCTGCTGTCCCCCTTCTCCGCCATTCCGGCAAGATGGGACTCTTTCCTTCTGAAGGTAATGCCAGGCAGCTACCCTCTGCTGTTCCTACCTGGTACCAACCCATAGTAAGGACATTCTTGTGCTCCAGCCCCTGTCCCTTCTGGCATCAGAAAGTGACAGAACAGTGGCCTGGAGGAGGGCAGCCACACCCTCCCAGGATTCCCCAAGGTCAGTTTCCAGGGCAGCCAGGATATGATCCTCCTTCCCCTCCCCCCAAACCCACAGAGGGTAGGCTGCAGCCATTGATCTTGCAGTGCAGAAGGTATTTTTAGCTGGTCTGAGTATCAGCTTCTTCTCCTTGCCTGGCCACACTCTTCTACCAGCCTCTGCTTGGGGGCTGGGAAGAGGGACCCCTCTGGGGAACCCCCACCAGGTGCCTCTCCTCTGCCCGCACCCTCCCCCATTTACTCTCTGCCCCTTATATCATATCCTGCTCACTTCTGGTGACCATGCAGAGATTGGCAGGGGACCTGCCAGGAGACAAAACACTTACAAGGTCTGTTCTGCGCATGCTACACCTTCCCCGTTTGTCACCCTATACTCACTGTCCAGGCAGGGTTCGCACACGGTCTGGTTGGCTCCGCAAGGCTGGGCCACACCTTCACCCAAGTTGCAGGCCTTGCAGCATTCTCCGCTATGGGTGTACAAGCCTGTGGAACACGTCTCCTTGGCACCTTGGCACCTTGACACCTAGGTGGAAGAAGATCAGAGGGTCAGCCTGGCAGGAGAAGGGGGGTATCTTCCAGGGGATCAAGCGCCTCCCTCTTAATACCTTCTATTGGAACCACCTGGGCTGGGATGAGCTCACCCGGGAGGCATTAGGAGGATCAAAGCTGGCAGGAAGGAAGGCTGGGGGAGATGGGGGACGGGGACAGTGCGCCCTTGACTGCTGCTGGGGTGTGAGGTCACAGCCTCAGTGGCTAACCTTCTGCAAAGTTCACCTTGGGGTTACAGGCCCTCATGGAGCCCTGAGGAGACACCACATGGGGAGGGCAGCTTGAAGCCAACATCCAGAATAGACGGACAGGTTGCAGCTTGCACAGGGCTCCTGGCCAACAGGGCCAGTGGAGCTGAAATCTGGCCCAAACTTCATTTGCTAAGCCTCACACCTGCAGGGCTTCGATTACCCAGAGGCAGGGCCTTTTCCTAACAAAGGGGAACAGGGTGCTTCTCCAGGTCTCATTCTACATATTAAATATCAAAAGGGAGTTGTCTAAGTCCAAGAGCAAGCAGAAGTCAAGAGGCCTGGGTCTTAGGTTCAAATCTTGACTTCAGACAGGTTTCTGATCTGCCCTGCTTTTCTTTTTGGACTTTTCACCTCTCTGCAGGTAAAGACAATGGCAGCTAGGTGCCAGGGCAAAGGACAGGCTGATGGGCAAGTCTGGCACCAAGACAGGGAAAAGGGATGCCTGTTATCAGTAGCTGCTCTCACCATCCAGCAACTCCGCTCCACCAGAGTTGACTTCCACTCACTAGCCTGACTTCCTCCCCTCCTCTTCCCTCCCATGTGGCCCCTGGGAACAGAGCTGGAATAGGGGGAGAGGGGAATCAAATTCCTACCACTACAGCATCTTTGCTCATGGATGGAACGACTTAGCACCAGATTCCCCAGGGGGAGGGGCTGCAAGTGGCTTGCTTTGTTGCTGTTTCTTAAAGAACAATCTTAATGTCTAATAAAACTCCAAAGCCTTCTCTGCAGGCTCCAGACCTTGCACACACAGCCCATTTGATGCTGAGCAATTTGGGCTCAAGTCGTGAGACCAGGGAGCTTTACAAGATTGCTTGGGCATTCCTCTACATCTGTATGCTGGACAGATCTTTGCCAAGATATCAAAAAAACCCACTGTGGTCTCACCAGAGTTTGATGGGAAAGGAAATACAGAAGTAGGGGACACTAGGTGATGCCCTAGGGGCAATGTGGTCTCCATGAGCCCAGCAGGGACAATGAAGGCAGAACGGAAGCTGCCACCATCTCCTCCAGTGCCTGCAGTAGGAGTGCTGCCTAGCAACATCTGCAGACCAGGAACCCTGAGGCGGGCTTTTCTCAGGAGCTGAGATTTCAGAAGGGTCTGTTCTCATTTCCTTTCATCACTTAGGTCTCTACTTAAATATCACTTCCTCAAGGAAGTGTTCCTGTCATCCCCACCCCTCCCAGATTAGATAGGCAGAGCTATGGTCATGGGGTTGACCATCTACCTCCTGCCCTACCTGGCACAGAGTAGGGAGCCGATGGACATAATTGGATGATTTAAGACCAGAAAGTTACCATATGCCTTCAGTTACCTAGAAGTCTGGAAGACTGACTTTGGATGACTATGTATCCTCAGGGACAAGAAAAGAAGTGCTGCTGTCATTCAATGTCTCTCTCTGACCTGGGGGGCTGCATCCTCCTCTGCTCCTGCAGTCTCTCCCTCACTGGGGCACTGACCGTTAGCACCAGCGACTACTCAGGGCTGCAATGCAGCAGTGCTCTCCTGTTCCTGATCCCAGATGACCACATTTTTTGTCATTTTGCCAGCTTTTTGATAGTTTTCCTGTCCCTTCTCTTCCTGTCAAGGTATCAGTTGACACTTCTTGCTCCTATCAGCGTGGCTGGAAGAGTCCCTCTCCCAGAATCATAATGAATCAGTTCTAATGGAGTTTTTAAAATGATGTCACTGGACTTGGTAAAAAGCTGTCTGGGAGCCAGGGGCACATAAGCCTGTGATCCCTGCATAAGGGGGCGGGGCAAGAAAGGAGGATCTCCAGTTCAAGGCCAGCCAGGACTACACAGAGAAAAATGGGGATGGGGGAGTGTGTGTGTGTGTGTGTGTGTGTGTGTGTGTGTGTGTGTGTAGGAGGAGGAGGAGGAGTTGGCATGAAAGAATAAGTACCCTGAGTCAAACATTTGGGCATAATCACTGCCCATTCCACTTCTCCCACTGATCTGAGTGACAAACAGGTTTGTAATTTCTCTGTGCCTCTGTTTCCTACCATTAGGTAATCATGACATCAGCTGCCTCAAACTGCTGTATTACAAGAGTGGATGAGCATGGGGTCAAAGTTCTTCAGAATTCCCCTCTTAGCCAAGAGTGGTGGCACACGCCTTTAATCCCAGCACTCAAGAGGCAGAGGCAGGGAATCTCTGTGAGTTCCATGACAGCCAGAGCTGTTACACAGAGAAACCCTGTCTCAAAAAATCAAACCAAACAACCAAAACCTCTTCTTCCTTCTAGTATGTGTGCTCTTTGTGGACCACTAAGCCAAAGTTAGCAGAGAGCGGGAAGGTGTGTGTTGGGGGTGGGGCTGCTGGTGCTTGTGGGAGCCATTGTAGCTTTGGGCAAGCATTCCTGCCCTCCCCACTCCTTTCAGGGCTTGTACTTAAAGTTGAGGCCACACCGTCAGCATCTGCAGTTGGTTGGCTGCCTCTGTCATAAAATCCTAGATTTGCTACAAAATAGCCTGTGATTTTGAGCATCTTATTCTTCCTAAATCTGTTTTCCTATCTAAAACACTGGGACAAGTATGACTCCTGCACTGGGTTGCTATGAGAAATGAATGAAATAATGTATGCAGATCTGTCGGGCATATAGTAGTTCAATCAATAGTAGTTATTGAGGAAGTCGTGTGTCTTAGGGAGTATGAGATGCTGACCCCAGGGAAGACAAAACAGAAAGGGAGCCATCCGCCAAGCAGGAAAGTGTGACTGGAGTTCAAGCTAATTGCTCCAAAATCCGATCCAAATTGACCAATTTATCAAAATGACAGACCCATTTGCCTGATGGTTGTATCTATTACATTTATTCATTTCCAAGTTGATAGCATGACGTCTCCATTTTCAGAATGCTTACCATCTAATTTTTTTGTCATTGCAGGGCTTGTGGTGCTCGGATGAACTGACTTTTTTTTATTGGACAAAACAAAAAAACACAACAGTGTTTGCAGCTCTGTAGGTGTTTCCATGGGCTCCATCCTGACCATTCCCAACAGCTTCAGAGAAAGCTCCTAGGAGAACAGAAGCCTACTCACAGCCATATGGGGTAGGAGAGGTTTTCCAGTGACTGGAGAGCCTTTGATAGATTCGAACCCAGGGGTAGGCACTGGCTTCCGGCTCCACTCCCCGCCCCTTTGGTCAGCCACTGAGTCATGAGAAGGAGATTGGTGTTGATCCCTTAAGAAGCTGCCTTGTGGAGACTTGAAGAGAGGCTAGGGCTCTGCCCATATGGAGCAGGGGAGTGGCTCAGGTCAGAGGCACAGGGCAGGGTCTAGCCCACCCAGCCAGGGGCAGTTCAGGACCACACCCCCTTTCATGATCTGTAGGTGGAGGCGGAGCTGAAAAGGAGCTGCGCTTGAGGAGAGACCAAAGCCTTGACTCCCAGCTTCCTACAGACCACCTCCGCTTTCCCCCTGCGGGAGCCTGGTGTCTCCCCAAGTTTCCTGGGGGTCCGTTTCCTCACCTGCAAAATGGGAAAAACTAAATTTACCTTTCTGGGACCTAAGGGTTATGTATATAACGTAAAAGGACAGGGCAGGTCACAGAGTAGGCACTTCACAAAAGTTATTATATCCTACATCCTCTCTTCCAATTCATCCCCTAGGGAGGAAGCCAGGTGTTGAAACCAGACTGGACTGGCCAGGTAGGGTGGAGGCTTTTCCCTCCTCCAGGAGCCTCCTCACCATCCACCCTCCACACCAGCCCCAACGCTCACGCTGCCCATTTACTGCCTACGCTGCTGCATCCCTATTAGGAGCATTAGCCAGCCCGGAGGCTCCAGGCTCCGGTTACAGACATCTGAATGACAAAGTGCCTCCATTACCGGCTCGACCCGCCAGCAGACTCGCCGGGATGCGCTCTGGTTTCAGCACTCTCTCAGCGGCGCAGGAAGAGGCTCGGACCGCTGAACTGGCTCACACCGAACAATCTGGGGCGGAGGTGGAAAGTAGAGTCCCAGGGGTTCACGCCCGAAGATTCTTTGCTCGGTCCACCTTGCTGAGGCCTCCAGGCCCAGCTCTGCTCCCTTGCTCGCCTTTTCTGAACTCAGGGGCATCCTGCCAAGGTCCAGAGGCCACGCCCTCACCTCTCCAGGATGGGAACCACACAGCGCCCAAGGCATCTCTAACCAGGGACGTTAGTCAGCAAACACCCTTGCAGCCACTCCCAAAACCCCGTAGGAAGCCACAAATAATGACAGCTCCAGGGAACCAGGTTTGAGCTTTGAGGATGGGATCGGAGCTTGAAGAGGTTCTCCATCCTCGGCTTCCATATCCCACCTCTGCCTATCTTTGGGACGGTGCCGCCCCCGTCCCTGCGGTGACCGCCCACAGCTGCACCATGAGTAGAGAGAGCACGGAGCTGGAAAGAAGTGGGGGAGGGGGTCCATCCAACCAAAGAACTCAGGCCCAACTTGCTTGTGAGGTCTTGGCCAACTTGTTTAAACGCAAAAGTCTCTGCCTCCCTTATCAGTAAGATAGAGATTTGGGGGCACAGTGCTCAGATGAAGAAAAAGTTGGAGAGTGACGCCACTTTCGTTGCCAACCTTTCTTAAGATCTGATCAGAAGTACCCAGAGTCCTCGGGTTCTTAACAAGACTTGACGACCTAGCTGGAGCTGGTGCTTCTGAACGACAATCAAACAGAATCCGAGGCATCCAAGAGATCCCTGTCGCATTTGAAAGGGGTTCATAGACTTTTATCGAAAGTCTAGTCAGATGTGTGCGTGATGCTGACCCTATTAAGATCTGGACAGGAAGGAGCGCGAAGGGCGCAGGGCTCCCGAGGGTTGCTTAACTTAGAAGGAGCGCAGTGCGCAGCCCCAGGCTCGCACGCAGCTGCGAACAGCAATCCCGCACCCTGCAGTGCCCCCTGCGGGTCGCATGGGGTTTGTGCATTCCCCGAGCAGTGCTCTGCCGGAACAGTCGCCGCCTTGAGCGTCCCTGCGCTCAGCATCCCGAGACCCGGCCGGCGTAAGATAGGGTAGGGAGCTGCCAGCTCTGTCTCTCCGATTCCACTGTGTTACTCCAAACCGTGTGAAAAGGCTTGCCGAGGATCGGATTTGCCCCAGTAAAGTGAGCGCTCCCTTCCCAGCCTGGGATGCCCAGATGCAATTCCCGGACTGGGCGAGGCAGCGAGAAAGAGCGCTAGAACCCACGCGGGAAATGTGTGTGTCTCGGCTGTCCTCGTCCCACTGTCCTTGAGTAGGCAGGCGGGGCCCCAAGCACTTTAGGATACGCACCGCTCTCCATCTCTCTACCTCTTTTGTGGCAGTCTCCTTTCTGCTCTCTGAAGCCCACTTCTAGCTCTTCAACCTCCCTGCCACTCCCGAATCGCTCCTTTCGACGCCCCTCCCCCTCATTGTCTGGCCGGTCCCCATTGTCCATGCCGGGTCCCCTCTGCCTCTAGTCCCTCCAGCCGCCTCCCCCATTGTTCCTTCGCTAGCCCCTCACATCTCTAGCGCCGCTCTCACCCCCCTCCTTTCTCTCCTCGGTTCTGTCCTACAACTCCCCCGAGGACTAAGATGCTAAAGGGAAAAGTCCTCTCGGGATCCCGGAATTCACATGCCGTCATCAAAAGAACCCAGTCTCCTACACCGTCCCCACCGCAGTACCCAAAGAGCAGCAGCAGCAGCACCAAGGATCAGCATCGGTGCCACAGTCCTGTCCGCATCTCTATCCGGGACTGGGTCTCCTTTGCTCTCTGAAAGTCCCAAAAGCTAGAAGCGCCCCTGTGGGTCACGGCATCGCAGCTCCTCCGCCACCGGTTCCCAGCATCTGGGACCTTAATGTCCTGTTCTGTTTCCTGGGTGGTGGCACTGGAATCCCCTTGGGGTTCGGTTCCTGGAAAAGGTTAACAGGCGTCCCTCCTGCTACCACTTACCCCTAGAAGCAGCAGCAGCAGTAGCAGGCGCGACTGGTCCATGGCGCTGCAGGCAGCACCTGCCCTCATCGCTCGCCTCTGGCGACAGCGCTCCGCTTCTAGCTCAGTCCGCTCTGCGGGCGGATGGACTGCGCTGAGCTGCGCTAAGCCTCAGCGCCCGCTGCCCGCCGGAGCTGGCGGAGGCTACACTCGCTCTGGCTGCCGGCGGGCGGGAGCAGCTGGGTAAAGGCAGTGCAGCAGCCCCGCCTCCTCCCCGCCCAGCGCGCCCAACTCCCCCCCACCCCACCCCACCCCTCCGGAACCGCGCCCGCCCAGCCGCCGGGCCGCTTCGAGGTGGGGAGTCCGGAGCAGCCAGGGAAGGCGTGCGTGCGGGGAGCCGCGCCCGTGTGTCCCGCTGCGGCTTCTCTGCGGGCTGTCTGTCCAACATACCCAGTGCACTGCCGATTATGCTGAGTATCGGTGTTGGATACTTTGGATCCAGCGAGGCGGCGGGGGCGAAGTAGGGGCATTGCTCTCCTACTGATGAGGTCTGCCTTAGGATTCACTCTCTAAAACATCTTGCTCAGCCTCTAGGTTCCTAGTTCCCTGCCTACCCCTCATTCCGGGAATTCGGCGGCCCTCCTTTTATGATTAGGTCTACACCTATTCCATCCTGTTTACTGCTTCTCACTTGTGGAGTGAGGTGTTCCTTGGGACATTCAAGGTGGAATATCCATCCCAATGTCATAATTTGCTCTCTCTCTCTCTCTCTCTCTCTCTCTCTCTCTCTCTCTCTCTCTCTCTCAAACACACACACACACACATACACACACACACACACACACACACGACTGAACCTAGGCCCTCACACTTGCCATGCAGACATCTTATCACTGAACTATATTTCCATGTGTGCAATAAACCCCAGGAATACACAAATGCACTCTTAAACTTCCCTGTACATGTGCTCATGCATGTGCCATACCATCCTCAGGCATTCGTATAAACCCAACCATTCTACAACGGTCCCTAATACAGATCAGACATACATCTACACACACATTCACACACCCCGCCCACATGGTCACATGTGTGCAGTGCACAGTCATACTCAAAGAAGCTCTAAGGTATTGAGCATTCAAGTGCACACACATTCATGAGTGTACAAACCATACCCACGCTCGATTACCTGAGCTTCTGAGCTTCCTAAGGCAGGGGCAGTAGTGTCTTCTCCGAATGCCTGCTATAGAAGGTGTTCCGTCTTGCTTTGTAGAGGTGATTCAGTGAGAAAGTGGCTGAATGGACTCAACTTCGGAGATTCATATCATCCATGTATTGTGTAGGTGCTCTGAGGACCGAACCTGTCATGTTCTGGAAACCGAGCACATCAGATCACCTGTACACACCAGGGAATGTGCAGTCAGTCTCCCAAAAGAAACATCACCCCACCCTTTTCTAGTTCCCAGACAGCCAAGGCCCTGGTTCAGAGTGTGGAGGGGACAAGTCTGCACCAGATGTTAGCTGTGTCTGGACTCCAGTTTCCTCTTTGAAAATATGGGCCCAAAATAATAGAAACAAGGGACAGACCAAGAGCAATTATGAAGATTTCCTAAGTCGCTTAAAACTTAATTCATCCATTCATTGCAAAGAAAAACAAAACAAAACAACCCTTGTAACAAAGTCCAATAGACAGTCCCAGGAAAGATGGGTAGACAGCATTGTGATTTTGAGTATTCACGTTCCTGAGCCACCACGCTGAATGTAAGACTCTAGGCAGCGAGCACGACCTCAGCAGTCCCCGAGGACCCACCCCTTCCTCCTGGATAGAGATTACTTCTAAGATGCCCCCTCCCCCAAGGCTTTTACAGATCGGCCTTGCTCTCTACTGAATTCATGGGAGGCAGGAGAGAGAGGCATTAGTACTTCCAGAAGCAGCTTACTACCAGCCTATTGACAGTGTGGCATTAATTTAAATACTCCCGTTATTAATTTATGATCCCGGTTACTATTATTGCCAAGGTTATCCATCTCAACACAATTTAATATGACCCACACCACCATGGCTGGGCCTGGGTTATTAATAATTTCCATGGTCTTGATCATTTAAGCCTTACTCCAACAATTACAAACAGCAATTGTTACTATTATTAGCAGTATTTCTATGATTAAGCTGAAGCGAAGGCTTGAGAATGCTTTGCTGAGTACCCAGCAGGAAGAGTGGCTGCAAAGGTACAAAAGGAGGCGTGGCTTTGGGACTCAGGTGGGCCTGAGTGAGAATGCCTGCCTCCTGCCCAGCTGCTTCCTCCTGCATTACCTTAGGAAGGCTACACCGTCTCTCCTGGCCTTCACTTTCTCATTATAAGATGGGGCTTCGAAGGAAGATGGCCAGGATCAAATAGAGCAATGCAGTGTTCATCACAGGAGGGATCAGTCATGTCTTGTTCATTCAGTGTGTATTTATGGAGCACTTGCTATGGGCCACACACACTCCTAGGCCCTGGAGATTCATCAGGGGACAAGAGCCAACAGTGGAACTGACAGTCTACATCAGTAGTTCTCTACCTGTGGGTGGTGACCCTTTGGGGGTGGAACAACTCTTTCACGGGGGTCTCCTAAGACTATCAGAAATGCCAGACATTTACATTGTGATTCATAAACAGTAGCAAAGTTACAGTTATGAAGTAGTAACAAGAATAATTTTATGATTGGAGATCACTGCAACGTAACGAATTGCACTAAAGCATGGGAAGGTTGAGAACCACTGGTCTAGATAGAGTATTGATTATTTGATATGAGGGTATTTTGCAATGCGATACTTTAGCTTGACCACACTATAGGCAGCACACTGGGATCAGAATATTCCTTTGTTGAGATGCCCATGTCACCGAAACCAGTACTACTACTATGACCACCATTGTCATAATCACCACCGTCTCCTTCACCACCACCGTTCATACCATGACAGTTGTCTCAGTGAATCCTAGCATTGCCATGATCTTCTCACCCCACACTCGCCCAAATCATCGTGGCCCTGCCCCTGGTGAGAGCTACCCTTCTTTGTCAGCTCACCTAGACTTGGAATCCCTGGAGCACCCAACCCTGGGTGTCTCTATGAGGGTTTTTCCAGGAAGTTTTAACTGAGGAAGGAAGCCACCACAAATGCCATGGCACCTCATGAGCAGGGGTCCCCTAGTGATTCAAAGGAAAGCGAGTGAAGCATCTGTGTTCCTGGCTGCTGATGCAATGTGAGCAGCCCCCCTGGGGTCCTGCTTCCATGCTATGGCAGTCTGAAAGAGACATCCCTACAAGTCTCAGTTGTTTTAACACTTAGTCCTCAGCTGGTGACTGGGAAGGATTAAGAGGTGTGGCCTTGGAGCTGGAGAGATGGCTCAGTGGTTAAAAGCACTGTCTGCTCTTCCAGAGGACCTGGGTTTAATTCCCAGCACCCAGGACCCTGACCATCATCATAAACACCTCTACAAACTCTAGTGCCATCATGACCATTATCATCACAATTACCTCTACTTATCACTTAGAGTCATTGCTTGACTGCATCTAACTCCTTTTTGACTGTGACTCCTGGCCCCAAACTAAGTAGTCTTCAACTATAAGTGGCCCTATCCCAGACTCAACAAGATGTACTTTCTTCTCTGCCCTCTTTTCCCTAATCACTGACAGATGGGGACATGGGGAGACAACTATGAAGAGATGGTCAGCTTGGCAGCACCAAGGGGACAATAGTTTTCCTAAAGGGTCTTCTAGAACTGTCTGCTGGGATAAAGCTGCACTTAAAGAAGATACCTCTTTCTCTCTCCCTCTCCCTCTCCCTCTCCCTCTCCCTCTCCCTCTCCCTCTCCCTCTCCCTCTCTCTCTCTCCCTCTCATACACACACACACACTCTCTCTCTCTCTCTACACACACACACACACACTCTCTCTCTCTCTACACACACACACACACACACACACACACACACACACACACACACACACACACTCACCCTCAGGCTTCCAGAACTACAGCAACTCCAATGTAAAAGGGTAGATAATAATAATAATATTAAGCATAGATCAGCATGGAGCTGGGAGGGGGAGGGGTTGGGAAGATGGGATCCATACATGAGGGGAAACCCCCTGTTCACCTCACCATCACCTTCCAGGAAGATGTCCCTAATGTACCCTCCCTCTCTTCCCATTCCGTTTGTCCACTCACCTGGAACTCTCTCTCCAAGGACCTTCACACCTTTGCAGTTTGTTGCAAAGGACTCAGCACCTACAAGGCTGACAGCTCCTCGTGCCCACATTCCTGGCTGCAACTGTGAGCCAGCCTGAAGCTGCAAACCGCTTCCTTGCAGACAATGAGAATGCCCGCTTCCAGAGCCTTTCTGTAGGCCAGGAGACGTGCACGACTGTCTGCCGTGTTCCCATGGCCATCTCGGGAAGGCAGTGCTGCAATCACTCTATAGGTGAAGAGACATGAGGAGGTGAAGCCACCTGCCTCAGGGGGAAGTAGTGGCACCATTGCTCTGAGGTTCTGCTCTGCACGGAGCCCCACACTCACACCCCTCCCCATTAACATCCTGATCCCAGGTTACCCCTCCTCCCCTCCGTGCCAGCCCCCCAGCCTTTGCCCTCTAGACAGCTGCTAGAGGTGCTGGGGATGAAGGACCTCCATCTCATAGGGATTGAGTCCTCTCCCCAGGCCCCTGGCTGTTCCCTCTTGATGGACACGGCACAACACAGGCTTAGAGGCTAAGTCGGGCGGGCATTAGAGAGGCACACCATGTCAGAGAGGAGGGCTGAACTCTGTTAGCTCCCACCTTTCTTGCCCCAAGAGAATTACTTCTGATTCTTCAGTCCCATATCCAACCAGAGACGAGGGTGGGAAGGAGGTGGGCCAGGGGAGAGGAAAAGAGGAAGTGCTAGAACTTCTCACCTGTATCCCATCTGCCCCAGGCAGGCAGCCAGGCAAGGTAAGCGAAGCTCGAAGCTCGCTGCCCCACTGAGGAGCTGGCTTGGTGGCTTTGAAGCCTGATGTCCTGATTGTCACTATACTGACTCTGAGAAGGTGGAGCCTATTTGATGAGGGGCCAGGTGGTGGTTTGGGATGACTGAGTTTTCAGTCTGGATCTGAATCGGTGGTGAAAGATGTGGGAGGAGTCAGCAGTTTTGGAGTTCAGTTAGATTCACTTGAGCACCCTCCTG